TGATATCATACACCCATATTACATATCTCACTCACGCATGAGTATGATAATTATTGTACCCATGATCTGTCCACAATCCAGGGACAGCTTCTCGTACAATCGGGAAATATACGTATTATTACTCTTATTATTATTATTAATATTATTATAACTAACGTTAAGAAAGAACACTGTACTAACCAAGTTAGTGTCCAACAGATGATACCGTTCGCGGACTTTTGCAATGTTAAAGTTCAAATAATTCAACAGTGTATGATGGGATACAAACAAATTTACAAGACCCACAGGATGCAAAATGCAACAGAAAATTAAAATCAAAATGTTTCAACGTGGAACGTGAATCACCAGTAGTAAATACATCGCAGGTTTTCACACTGTTGTGTAGCGTTTAGCACTAAGATGAAAGTCTAGCAGTCTCTCGAATGTCGCGATGTCTGGTACGTTCACCACATGTGTTGATAGTGCATTCCAGTGGGAAGAGATTCTAAGAGAGTAAAAATACTTCCTACAATCCAAACGGGAGTGTTGCGTCATTAGATTCAGTTGATGGCTTCGACATTGTTCGTAAGGGTGACCGGAAAAAAGCGTACATGGAAAATTTCAACCTCGGAGAATGGCGCACACAGTGTATAGCGAACACGGAAATACACCAGTTCGATCGCTTTGCACGTAAACGACTGCCCTACGTGCCAAATCCCCCATAACTCATTCGGAATACTCAACACACAGAACACTGCTCGCCTACTGCTGTTTGCCGAATCCACAGATATTCGGTGGATCTAACGCACTTGGTGTGACCAGACCGATTTCGTGGCTAGCCTAGCCTTGGTTGGATGAGGTTGGTGACCGCGTCAAATGACCGATAGCCATTTTCTCACAGTGGCACTACACATGGAAGGATGCCCACGTAGAGAATTTCCCACCCAGAGAAACGCTTGGACGGAAAATTCGCAGCAGTCTGCAGGTGTACTTGGTTAGTTAGAGTTCGATGTGTACAATGATAATCGAACTTCCGTTGTACACTCAGACGACCGATTAAAAATGTGGACTGTCAGTTCAAGACGTTTTAGTAAACCGAAAAATCCGCCCACGGTCGGATCTTACGCACACCTGCGACAAGCGCTGCGTTTCCCGTTTCCCCAACCAGCACGGTTCACTAGTGTCACTATATAGGGGACACTTGTATGCGTATAATAAAAGCGTGTTCCTTCATGATTCCGTTCCTCTGGACTGATCTTCGGGCCTGCCACCATAAAATGTTCACGAACTCGACCTGGTCACACCAAGTGCATTAGGGACACCGAATCGCTGTGGCTTCGGTAAACAGCAGTAGGCAAGCAGTGTTCCGTCTGTTGAGTCATGCGGGGTTTGGCCCGTAGCACAGTCGTTTATGTGCAAAGCGATCGAACTGGTGTATTTCCGTGTTCGCCATATGCTGTGTGCGCCATTCTCCGAGGGTGAAATTTTCCGTGTACACGATTTCCATGCACGCTTTTTGCTGTACGCAATTTTCGTGTACGCTTTTAACATGGAACCGTCTGTAAGAGGCTAGAGTCAACAGCGATGTACATGGGTACTCGTTTTCAGTTAGTAACTAGTAGGTGAGGTCAAGATGCCCGCGAAGCCGTCGGTATCATGAGGAGAACACACCGAGTAAACGAAGTCGTAGTTCGTAACTGAGACCGGATAGTCTATGTGTTGCGTTGATGGCTCTTCTTTGGGGTTGCTCCAGGCCTGAACCACATGAGGGACGATGTGTTGATCAACAGTGGTACTAACCGTCGCTCAAAGGTGCCGAGAGCTCGCCTCAAAAGTCCCAAGTTCAAGTTCGCCACATTCGCTGCTTTCGAGTAGTGGAGCAAATTGCTAAGACTTTTTGTACGATGATACCTAAGTCTCGTTTACTAGTTACCTGCTGCGAAAGAGGCCGAGTATTAATCAAAAGTAGGATTGATGCACCAAACCAAAGACTTCATCGCAAATACTTCACTCTATGGGCACCAAGACACTGGTGACCGCATTGCATGCCAAGCCACTAAGACATGTCCCACATTTACACATCAGGATACTCCGGACGGGAAGCTTTCTTGGAGTGTTGGCCATCCATACGCAAAAAAGCGACACAACCACCACACAAGGAGATCGATAGCGGATACATAAACCGGGTGTACAATGAAGCGGGATTGATCAACATCAAGTGACAACGGACTCGTTAGAGAAAAGATGATTTCCTTGCAAAAAGGTACTTTTAAGTCACCAAGAGTGAAACAATCCTAAAGAGATTTACCAATGATTTCATAGAACACAGGTGATCTTCTAATCAGGAAAAACAACCGTAATAGGTTGTCTGGGCGGTCAACGTGGTGTAGGCTCCCGTAATGAGCGATTGCTACACCTGTGTTAAGTTTCTCGTCTCTTTCTCGTGAGCACTAACTTTCGACACAGCACCCGCAGAAGTATGACTTGGCGCGCACAAGCCTCGCACCAGCCATGGATGCAAATCGATCATATCGCGATCAGTTACCGATAGAGAGGCTGTGTTCAAAACTGTCACTCGATTTGGAGCACGCTCTCGTGTTTCCAACCTTCGGGTGCGTTTTCGCGGACATCCGCAACTTCGCTCTGAGCGCACTGATATCAGCCAGCTGGCGAAGCCGGATGTTCTGAATGCGTACCAAACTATGCTGGCATCTGGGCTGAGTAAGCGACCACTGAACACCGTCGAAGATCACTGGTCGCATATTTGTCAAACGTTACTATCAGCAGGCATGTCTTCATGTGGCAAATCAAATTGCCACTGGACATTGGGTCTCTACAAAGTCTCTGGAACTTATGGATGCTCGCCGAAGTGTTCCGGCTGGAAGTGAATACAATGGAACTCGCAAAAATATCATGGCAAAACTGCGCGCCAACCTGAAGAGAGATTGCGAAGCCTAGTGGTCTCATCATGCCTCGGAAATGGAAACAGCCGCTGCCGTTGGTAATCATCTTAAGTTATTCCGTCTGATACGGGAAACAGACAGCAGGAGACTTGGTGTTAGCGAGACAATATGCGGAGAGAGTGGACAGCCGATTCACAGCTTGTGAAAAAGCTTGGAGCGCTGTGACGAACACTATGCAAGGTAATTCAACCAATTTGAGTTATCGCTTTCTCTTTCGGGCATTGAGTGCCCTTCTCCATGGGCCGTCTCCTTAGATCCGTCCTCACGCTCAGAGGTCGAAAGTGAGATCAGACCGTTGAAATTGCATAAGACTGCTGATGCAAATAGTATTCCCCCTGATCTCTACAAATACGGGGGACGTGCTCCTGTGAATAAGTTACACGAGTTGCTAACGGAATTTCGGGAGCATGAAACTGTCCCGAAAGACTGGAGCCGCTCCGTCATAGTCCCAATTTTCAAGAAAGGCTCACGTTCGGAATGCGGCAACCATAGAGGGATCAGTCTGATCTCAATTGTCTTTACATTACTTGCTTCTATCGTTCTCCGCAGACTGACTGGCGCTCATGAACGCCAGATCCGTGAAGAGCAAGCCGGGTTTGGTCAAAATCGAAGCTGCATCGCCCACATCTTTATTTTGCGTCAATTGTTGGAGCACCGCCATGCTTATTGGCAACACACCGTTGTCGTGTTTCGAGACATCAAAGATGCCTTCGATTCGGTCGATCGTTGTGCCCTTTGGGACTGTCTACTGAGAAAAGGTGCCCGATAAATATGTAACCCTTATCAAAGCGCTGTACGCGCGTAGTTCGGACAGAGTGAGGGTTTATGGCAAACTGTCGCCGCCCTTCAATATCTCCAGCAGTGTGAGACAAGGTTGCCCGCTGTCACGTTTCCTCTTTAACTTCGCTATTGATGAAGTCGTGGAAACAGCGTTCGCTGGACACGACCTAAGTGGTGTGGAGTTACTTGTTGGTGAACGCCTTCTTGACTTGGAGTATACAGACGAAACTGCCCTTATATGTGACAGCGCCCAAACATGACAGGCTTTACTGGACCGATTAGCACTAGCTGTCTATCCTTTTGGGCTATGCTTTGCTCCATCGAGATACAAAGTACTTCTCCAAAATTGGCAGGGACCCACCCTGCGCTAACGCTTGGTGGTGATCAGCTAGAAGTCGTCCAGGAATTCAACTACCTGGGCAGCTATATTTGCGCCCGTGGTATCGAACATGAGGTTACAAACCGTATAACAAAAGCTAGAGGTGTTTTTGCCAGTCTCCGCCACCTGTGGCGCATACGTGACATCACTCTCGACCTGAAGGGCAAAGTTTATAATGCAGCCGTCCGTTCAACCCTCTTATACGGTTGTGAAACCTGACCCATCAGGTCGACAGACATAAAGAGGCTGGTCACGTTCAATCATCGCTGCCTTCGCAGCTTAGCTCATATCTGGTGGGAGCATCGCGTGAGCAATGAGCGTGTTCGGCGTCGCGTATTTGGTGCAGGAAAAGCGAGTAAACCGCTCAGCACCATTATATCACGCATCAGGCTCCGATGGCTGCGCCACGAGCTGCGCATGCCAGCACACCGACTCCCGTGACGTGTGTAGTTTGAGCGCTGGGCATGCGGTTGGAAGAGGAGGAGAGGAGGCCAAGCGATGACTTAGGCGAGAGAGAATGAAAACCCTCACTTCGAAGTTGGTGACTGCCTGGCTGGGGTCCTAAGGACGATGAACACGTTTGGTTGAACACACGCTGCTATGGCTAGGATCCGGCCCAATGGCGTTTGTGTTGTGCGTTCCTTTGTCCATCCCCTCCCGTTTAGCCTCCACCTAAAATCACGATCCCATTCGTTAAGCGTAATATAACCCCTTTTGCGGCACGATAGCCGGCTGTTAGCTCTCCGGAACGATGTCCATCCGTTACGGAGGACTCAGCCGGTGTGCCTTTCTTGTTTGTTGCTTCTTGTCTTTTGTATTGTGGCACAATAGCTGAGGTGTTTTCCACCTGCAGCTAACGTGTATAATGAGGATGATGATGATGACTATCGTCAAACTGAAGGAACATCAGCAGTGCACCACATACTTGTGAACATGACAATGGAAAAAAGGACCAAGAAACAATTTTTTCTGTTCCATTCCAGTAGAGTCGCAGTATGTCAGGTCTCACCTACACGGATAGTGCAGACGTCAGCTAACAAAGAGGTCCTAAGGTGCGTCGCAAATTGCTCATGTTGAATAACTTGTAAATAGAGCCACTGCTTTCAAGGCACGGTGATTGTCACATCCATCGGATTTTTGGTCCAAATAAGGCGAGAGAGCAGTACAGTTCCGAACGGCTTGGAATCGCTGGCCATATTGTCTCGTGAAACTTTATCACTCGCCGTTACGTTGGGTCAATCCTGAGTCCCCAATCACATGCCGCTCTACGAATTTGAGATCACTTTAGAAATGGCCATCGAATGGAAGCTGTTAAAATGCCTCAATCAAGAGAGTCGGTACCGCAGAAACCCATTCACAGGGTGAACTCCATACATTGTCTCGGAGAGCACCAGTGCTTCGGGTGTTCAGTGTCTCAGCCTATTAACACACAGCATAGCAGCTTTCTCACTTAAATGATAGGCAAATAACTACTATGAGGTCCCCTAGCGACCAGGGAGTAGTGAATCCGTATGCAGGCGAACTCAAGGCTAAGTTTTGATGTGAAAGAATGTCGACTGATTCTAGAACTCGAAACTGCGAAAAAGCGAAACAGAACGCATTAAAATAGCTAATCGAGTCACGCAAACTAACATACAAAGCTGAAGTATAGGAAAACGGTGTAGTCGAAGCACCACTTTCTCCAAAAAAGCCTTGACTCTGCTCTCCAAACAAGAACGATCATTAACATGACGCGAAGATGTGCGTACCTCCTAATCATTCACGCTATACCGAGTGATGGTCCTGGTCAACAAGAGTTAATCGAGAAGAGTGCTGTAAGATTGGTCAACGCAGAGTTCTGATTGTATATGATGGGGTTGACGTGTGCCCTGACTATGAAACGGATTCACGACCTATCCGTGATAAACCGACAAAGCGCCTCTCACTCATTCTCGACTTATTGGTTACACGAGTCGGGGGATTTTTATTGCAATAACTACTGGTCAAACCGGAGCGACCATCGTACTCAAATCTAGAATCGGGTCAACGTTAGTGGATTGGATGCCAGCAAACTTGTGTCTGTGTGCAGCCATTTGTTAACGTCGTTCGTGAGTGGCTGTTGCCTATGCTCCAACGGACTGAAGCAATGATGTCACCAAAGACGCCCACGATGCTGATTCGTAGCGCTACTGAGTCAAATATAATTTCAGTAAGAGGCGATATGAATGTGCAAGTGGGTCGTCTGGGCTCATCAGAAACCCAGCTAGGCGAAAAGATTGGGATTGGTTCCGAACGCATAGATGATGGAAAACACTACAACTATGAACCGAGCATCGGCTATCTTAATAACATTGCCTTCAATGAGAATCAGTATTCCATTCGGCGTGCTCTAATTGATAGATGGAGTACATCCCTGCAAGCTACATTATAGCATCCGTCCGTCCGTCCACCGGTATCATTGGGGGGAATTGTAATAATCTTAAAAATTAATCCCCATGGGGTCCAGCGAACTTTTCCATCAGTCTCTGTCACCATCGCATGCAGTCTTGGAAGGATTCCTACAGGATCATCCGCAGCTCCGTCGTAACGGCTTTTTTTGATGTCACCTACGTTTTCAAAACGAGTCTTCTTGCCCTTGGGGAAAGGAAAAGTTCGCAAAGAGCCAGATCGGTGAATACGGAGGTTGCTCTAGCACGGCGATGTTATTCTCGGCCAACAACGGCCGGATGCCCAAAGTATTGTGAGCAGACGCGTTGTCATGGTGAAAGAGCCACGAGTTCTTACGCCAAAACTCTCACCTTTTCTCACGCACTGGACAAAGTAAAAGCTGCAGTGCGTTCTTTGATGACATGTCTGTTGATACTCTAGTACTTGCATAATGTCGATCTTCCTTAACTGTAGCTGAGAAGCGCAACATATGATGTGAGCAGTTAGAGACAAAAATTGTCTCCGCTCATTCCTAAACAACCGCTAGGACTCTCTGTGGAGTAGACTCCGATACATTCACTCTATGGAATCGGATTTATGCGATTATGAACAGCGCAAGAGCTTCTGATTACAATTCCATCACCCGTCACAGTATGGGACACAGTAAATCCGAAAAATCATTAGACCCGTTGAGATCTAGGAGTCCTGCTGAATTCGAGCAGAATGCGCCCTTTTATGTTATTACTGAGCTGACCGGGAAGCTTGATGGGCTAGGAGTGCTCCAGAAATGAGAAAGCCAAAGGTGAAAATTGACCATCGCAGATGCTTTCAAATGACCCGAGTCACAAGTCGCAAAATGTCAGCAGCCACTAAAGTGACCGAGGACAGCACCGGCGCCCATCAGCACTAACAGTGGGAAGTCAACGAGGCGCTGTCGATGGTAAGCGACACATAGATACACTAGTGAAGATTAAGAAGAAGCACGATAGAGGAAGCAGAGTAGACACGGATCAAACGGCAAGGGAGAGATGTCATATTCAGAACGCTGGACGCCAATGGTTGAAGCATTAAAAAGCAACATACCTGATTGTGGTCCGGATACGGGATCAGACCTGCCACCACACCCAAAATTGTGGCTGGATCGATTTCCATATGTGTGTACCGATTTCCGTCGGTCAAATACGATTCGTCCATTGCAACCAAACAATCGTTTAACTCGTTCGCATCCAGATATTCAATGCTGCCCTTTTTGATAAAATCCTCCCAGCTAAGGACGTTGTTGGCCAAATCCTGAGTGGTAAGAAAACAATAAATCTTGCGCCAAATCGTCGTTAAAACATGACAAAACTGTAGTAGAGATCGACAAGCCACTAAATGCCAAACAGTTCAGATTCTGGTGTAAAGCAAACGGGTATGGAGAGTGCGCTGGCAGGCTAGCCGATCGCGCCGATGGTGCATCCAGTGGATATAAGGTAAATAAACGTGAAATTTTGCCGATTCCCCTCAGAAATTCGCAAGCCAGATGGTCGATTCACCGATCCGGAAAAGCGTTGGGTCGTTTCGCACTAAGGTTCGACAGTGATGCACATTCCCTCGGTCCTCTCAGGGAACCGAACCCATGGCCGCAACCAACTTACGTCAACTAAACAACAGCTTATACCACTTAACAATGATGGACAATGGCAGACCGAAGGAGTGCGCACCACTAAGAGCTCTGATGGAGCAAAAAGGCCATCTGGTACTCACTAGTAACTTGAAATTGTTTCCAAGTGCATATCGTTCAACGGCGGTAACATATTTATCTCACAAGCGACAATACCTCATCGCCTGAATGACAAGAGCGGTGGTAACTCGATCAATCGCATTCCAATGCTCCAGCTTTATACAACAACTCAACTGGGTCGTCTGAAAGCGAGATCATCATTTAGATCTTATGGCGCACGTCAATCGTACAGTGGGTAACCCAATTGAGGCCCACGTGTCAATCAACGATCGTAAAACAGGGTCCAACAAAACGCGCAGCGCGTACTCCAAATGCAATTATTGTGAAGTTTGGTGGTCTATTTACGAAAGCGCTTTACGTAAGGTCACGGTGTCGATGACCCAAACCTCAGTTACAACCATCATTACTTCAAAAGAGCAAACAAAGGTGAAACCGGCCATGGAGTGTGGTCTCGGGTATCAATGCAGACTTGTGCACACGTTTCATTGGCCCCGATTATGCGCCATTTCCTTAAGAGTCTCCAAGCAGCGATGTTCTTCATCTCTGACTCCCCAGTCCGGAAGACATACGGGACCGACAACAGCTAGACTGGAAGTCAGTGCCTTGACGTTTTGTTGCCATGTGGTAGGTTGATGACCGCACGATTTCATTCAGTGCGGCTTTGCGCGAGCGAATAGAGCGCGCCGTGGTAAAGGCTCGCGCGGCATACTTAGGACGTGACCTAGCCACCTTAGTTGGCACAGCGATATTAGCTTATCGTTAGGGAGGCCCGTATTACCCAGGACGCAACGTCTAACATCGTTGTTATAAATGTGGTGTTCCCACCATATACGAGCTATTCTCCGCCGAAAACTGTTGTCAAATGCCGAAATCCGACGCAAATCATTTACGTCGATCGGCCACGACTCTTACGTACAACAGTACCGCGTGAACACCGGAATTGTAGACCCTGCAGCTTATCGAGAGTGAAATGTCACGACGACGCCAAAGAACAGCGAAAGCTGATCGGACTTTGACAATACAGAGAGAAATATCTATACCAACTGTGTCATCAAATGAGACGCAGCTCTCAAGGTAGACGAAGCAATCTACTTGTTCAAGCTGCATGCCACGGGGAGCAGCTATGTGCCAACGAAAGCGTTATAACGCGTCATACGAGGTGGCAGCTGGATCAAGAAATGGGAAGAGCCATACATTCTTCATGCATAATCGACAACACCGGTAAAACCAGATCATAAGGTAATTAAAATACGAGAAAGAGATACGGGAAAGTTCTTACGCTGCCAGAAAATAACCATACGTTAGGCCTGGCGATTTTTGGGGAACAGCAAAATGTGGTGTGGTCATGGCTTCCTTATAGGTTTATTTCGTGATTTTACATAAACCGTGACAGCTTGTCCGTTGAGCAAACAAGCTTAGTGGGTCTACACAAATAATCAGCGAAAGCGATCTAACCACCTTTGTAACATCAAAATATACGACGCCAGCCCAAGAGATACAGTGAGTCACATAGAGGAACGAACAACGGACACATGTGTCGATTGAGCGAGTAATTTCCTTCAGGAGTATGTGACACAATCGATGACACAAATGCTATTCGAATGTGAATCCACACATCTGCGCAGATTGAGAAGAAGAATCAGATAAGTGGATGCGGTGGCCTGAACATGGAGAACCGCCACAAGCAGTTCAGTCCTTTTATGACTATTAAACGTAAAGCTAAGCAAACAGCGCTAGACAATCGAGCAGGTATTAGGATATAAATGTCCCTTAACGAGTGGTTCAACCAGTCAAATGACGGAAGAACTTACAAAGTGGGTATGTGGTAGAGTATGGAGCAGACTTTCTTAACTCCTGCCCTGTTTGATATTTATCTTAATGTCATGATGTCTTGTGCGTTCGATGCTGCTTGTGCTTACGGTGTTCACGTTGAGCACCGTAGTGATGGCTGGTTGCTGAACATTCGTCGTTTCGGTGCGAGAACACTAGTCTGTGAAACAACTATCCGTATGTTGCTGTTTGCTGACGAATGTGCGTTGTTTCCAAATAGCACATAACTAGTGCTCTGGCTTCGACAGCGGCCAAATTCGGGCTCACCAGCAACACAAACAAAACTGCCTGTCTCTTACAGCCTTCACAGGAGGTGCAATCTGCAATGGTGCCACAAATTAGCATTGGCGAGGAAGTATTAGAAACTACCTCCCGCTTCTGCTACCTTTAGAGTATAGTTTCAACTGAGCAGCAGATACACAGTGAACTGCGTATCCGCGTCTCGAAGGCAGCAGCGGCATTCGGGAAGCAAGAGTACGGAGTGTGGAACAACCATCAGCTTACCACTGGCACGAAGCTGATGGTGTACAAATCTATGGTGCTGTCCGTTCTTCTATACGACAGTGAAACGTGGACGATGTACCGGCGGGATGTGCGATATCTCGAGCGGTTCCATCAGCAGTGTTTGCGATGGATTTTGCGCATCGGTTAGGGCGACAGAGTTGCTGACATGGTGTTGCGCCGAAGCGGAATGTATGCAGTGAACTGCATACTTTTGCTGAGACAACTTAGGTGGCTCGGTCATGTGTGGCCTATGGATTCGACGCGGATACCGAAGCAGCTATTATATGGTCAGTTGAGTGTTGGGAAGCGGCATGAGGGTAAACCGAAGCTTTGTTATCAGGACATGATTAAAGTGAGGCTCTCACGTTCTACTCTTGATTGCAGGTCATGGGAATCGAAAGCGGTTGATCGGTGTGTATGGCGCGAACTGATCAAGAAGGCCGTTGTCGAGGTACAAGAGCAATCCCTTGTGCATAAGGAGAAGAAGCGGCAAGTGCGGAAGCGACAGGCGCCGATTGGCGGTACGCGATCGACCTCGAGCGCACGGTGTTGTACCACATGCGGGGATCGCGAGTGCCTGAGTCAGGCGGGCCTAGTTAGCCACGAGCGAGACCACTCAAGACCAACATCGAAAAGACGAAGGGTCCTGCTGAGAACGTAAGCAGAACCGGCGCAGCATTTGTAGGTACGCTGCATTCGTTTTCCTAAGCGCGTGCTTGCGTGTTGAGTTTCTTTATTTCAGGTGCTTAGTTTGCTATATTTGTAATGCTTATTTTGTTAAATCAATTAGATGTCTGTCTGAATAAGCTTCCTTTTACTTACACAAGTCGCTTAAACAAATTGTGGTTAAATTCGTTAGCTTCTTCGCGTTGGTAGCATTGTTTAAAGTATATCTTTTTCGGAGATCTTGAACATAACGTGGGTGTGTTGATAACCAATTTATTTAATATGCTTCAGTTAGCGAAGAGTTAAACCAGTATTTCCGTATGATTTATTCGATAACTATTATTTGATATAGTCACTTCGAGTGATTGGCTGTTGTTTGACACCCAGATGTGGCTGCGCTTGATATGCATGTTGACAAGGTGCCTACATGTCTAACACCCTCAACCTCGGGTACTGGCTCCAGGAGAGTGCGAATCGTTGCTCGGGGGACGAGGTGCACGATCCCTGTGGCCTTGCTAGGCTCGAAGAATGGCTCCATCCAGTGTAGAGTGGACTAGGGTCCAGTCACCGCCTTGTGTGCGCTTGACCCCCATAATACAGTGTGCTTGTGTTTGCCTGAGAAAGAGTGTGGACCGGCTCCGTTGATGAAACGTGGCTCCTATCCACATGTCTCCCGGTCTTATTCCTTCGGGTTTACACTGGATATGGGGTGTGTGGATGGAGCTGTGGGTGGTGTAGCGCGAGCCATCCATGATCCCACCGTAGGCGCAGGCGTCTTGTGGTTGTCCTACGGAGCCCACAATGGCAGGCATATCTGGAACCGGACGCTACCAACCATGGAGTAGAGTGTAGCCAAGAGACAAGAGTCAGCCGGGGATGGTGCATCTGGCTCAATGATGGCAAATTAACCATAGGTGGCAAGTGAGGGTGAGTACTGATAGAGGCATTGTGACGAGTGAGCGCACACGAATCGCGAAACGAATAAAGAGGAACACTTTTATGAAGACATAGAAACGAACGACTGCTGTTACTTTCTCATTTTTGGATTGTAAAAATAACATGTGGCAACTATGGAAATCCGATAAAGATGGATATTGTGAACCACGTGTGGAGGAGTGAGGGATTTCGGTGAGCTGCTGCCGGGGTGTTGAGTATACCTCACGAATGCAGTCAAAAAGATCCAGTGAAAATTCAGGTGACCACTATCAACACTTACCTCTAGCATAGCTTGTGTAACGAGTGGACGATTGTTGGTCACAATAATGTATGGACGACAAAGTCGACCACCGTCGCTGACCACGTGAACACAGCGGTGTGTCTGTTTAATGTGGACAGAGACAAAACAATCTATGTGACCCGAACGCCTCAGTCCACGTATAAGCGCAGCCACTTTTCCTGGTTGTTCGGTGAAGCCAATCGGTTTACCATTCACGTAAATGATGAACCTTTGAAGCAGAGAGTCATAAAAAGAGGACAAAGAGAGATCGTGCAAAAAATATTCGTATAGCAGTCATCGCAGTGAATAGACAAAAAAACTGAGAACACCATTAAAAACAAAGGAGCGACCCAAAGTGTGGAAAAAGCACTACGAGACACAATCTAAAAAGTAAGAGTGGATAATACGAGTGAAGAGACCTCAAATGTACACTATGTAAAGATCTGGCGACTTATGGTGTAATACAAAAGTTGGTCACATCAACAATGGAACCGCTATCTCAGAGAAACTCACTCGGATTTCCCATACTGCATCTGATGCAGAGGTAGCACGTAGTACGAGCTCAGCAAGCGGATCAATCCGGCATCTTCCATCTCAACGGTCACATGACACATCAGTGCGACATTCTTCACCAAACCACAGGCTTCACCTTCAGGAGTATCCGATGGGCAGACGAATCCCCACTGGCTGGCATGAATCGAACGAGGACCGGATACCTGGATTGAGTGAAATTAAGGACAGGATATCTGGAACGGTAGACTCATTGTGGTCGACACGAGATGTCTAACACGCACTCAGATCCGATAGCGGAAGAGTCAAATCGTTGTAAACGATAACAGTGAGGGTACGAACAGGAAAAAAGCGGATGTGAATCCGAGGGTTATTGCTTCATAAAAACAGACTAACGACACTCAAATTGGCATTAATCTACATGCATGCAACGATGGATAGTGGGGTTGCGGTGGGTACAATCTGTGGCGTGGGAGACTACACATTGGCGAAAGTGAGACGAAGAGTGAGAATAGAGGTGAGATATGTGAAACTGAGAAACAGAAACCGGATGGAAACGAGAGCAGAAATCGCATTCTTCTCTATCCCAAATCACCGAACGAGCCATTCGTGAGATATCGGAGCTCGCGGCACTCGTTCAGAGTTATGTGCCCGCTGGACTGAGTCGGACAATGAGAACGAATGCGGGTTCATTAAGACACCTACACAGCAAACATTCAAGTCAAACTCTCGGTCAGCGCACAGTGGGTACAGCAGGTGATGGGGAGCGGCGTCACACACTAAAGACGATGAAACGCAGTTAACTATCACTCCGTGTGCGTTGGGAGGCGGCGAGAATGTAACAAGTCTTTAGCACAAACGATGAGAATCACCAATTGCCAAGTGAATATATTTGCGGCAGCTTAGCTTAGTGAGTATTTGGGTTGGTAACAACATCGATTCATCCGGCTAACGTAGGATGAATGAATGCGCTGCGTTGAGTAGCCAAGTTAGGAGGGTATAGAGACCCACCCCCATTCAGATGTTTCCAAGTTACTTTTCAGGACTGCACAGCAAGAGGGTAGAACCCCAAAAAGGCACAGTACAAATCAACTGTTCGTGGTAGTGACTACAACAACTCGGACGTGACTAAGCACCGAATCCTTACCGGCAAAGCTCTTATCTCGCGGTTCAGTAGGATATGGACACACATATGGAGAACAAAATGTGATAAAAATGAGAGCACAACTGGACGAATAGGGTGAAGGTCATCTGTTTATACAAGTCAAGTCGAAATGTGCCCAAATGAGTGCATTTTCAGCATTTTATATTATCAATTGCGAATGTGATAAGTTGGGACAAAAATGGGAAATTCTACAAAAAGATAGATGAAAAGGAAAAGAGAGGATTTGCATCACTCGGATGAACAGCTTTTCAGAGCAACGATCGCACAATGCTGAACGTAATCGCCGGAATCTGTATCTAATGAACCAGCCAGTTTTACGAAATTATTCTTCATAAGTGGTTTTAAATGGCGTAAAATATCCTGTCCGAAAGCAATAAGTCGGGAATGGTGCACAGTGTTTCAGCTTCTGTACTCAAAAGGTGGCACTGGAAATTGCGTGAACAAAGAATCTGTCAGACTATCTTTGCAAAATTGATATATCTAGAGCAGATAACCTAAAGATGATGTTCAACACAAAACGTCTTGTCACCGCAGCCCCTAGTTCCACTTCAGAGTCACTATGCGGATTGAGATTAATGAAAGGAGCGGATCCCATGGAACACTGTCCTAAGAAAAGTGTACAAGGATGAGGCTGGAAGGTTGGACGGCTTCCATAGCAGATAAGTGGAAAATTAAAACAGGAGTAAATCTGATAAGGCTTTCATCCCAACAGTTCACAAGGTACATAGCAGAGCCTAGTCCGGAAAAGCGCCAGACGCGTTTCGCCCTATTGGGGCTCGTCAGTGGCGCGCATTATCTCGGTCCTCTAAGGAGGATGGAACCTATGACCGCTAGAGGCAGCTTAAGCCACTGAGCCATGAGGGACGTTGGCTGAGCTACATAATTTGCAAACTAGCTGGGATATAGCACCACCTATCTACCACTGTCACGGACAGTGGTTAGCCTGCAGGGTGATGACGTCTTATCACTAGACGCTATCTCAGATTTACAACTAAAATCCTGCTACTAATGAGTACTATAAAACAGGAGTCTAGGAAAACTGGGGTGAAATGTTAGCGCTCAGACGAAATTAGATGGGGTTATTGTAAGAGAGCCTTACGCATCTAAGTGGTCTATCGTGAAAGACGGACAGACCTCGAGAGCTTGATTACGCGGTCAGACAAGTTCCGTCCGTCCAATATCCATGTTGTGCAGTAAAGGTGGGCTTCGAGAATGCGTCAGTTGGGCTAGTACTCGCACGGCTTTTCTGATTGGTTAGCAGAGCGTGTTGTAGTCAGAGTTGTCGCCCAATCCATTAAGATCCATCTTCTGATGAGCGCATGGCGAAGCTTTCGTAAACTCAATATCATTCTAGTTGCGATATGCTGTATTTTCTCCAGCTTTTCAGTTTCTCACCGGGTTATCGGATGGTAAGCTGGGGCACGGTATTCAAGGAATGGTCTAATGAGCGAGGTGAATAGGCGAGGGACGGTTTCTTCGGACCATGTGGAGAAACTTCGTCTTAATGCCCAGAGCATACGGAGTCCTGCACAGTACAATTACTCTGTATTTTCTAGTAATCTCATATCATGTCGCGACAGCACTCCTAAGTCTCTGACAGATGTGTTTGGGTGGAGCAACTGGCCGTCCATAGTGTATAATCGAGTGGCTGGACTGATGAACTCCGACTTGCTTGCGTTAAGAGGGAGTTGCATTTCAGCGGACCACGTTGACAGTTGCGCTAATTCATGCTGGAGGCGAGCGCAGTCGTCCTGGTTCTCAGATTTTCAAATCATCTGCAAACACGGCCCATGGTGAGTGAAGCTGCTGCGGAAGATCGTCGATATGAATAAAAAATAATACTGGCCCAAGTACAGTTCGTCGAAGTACGCCACTGGTCGATGGAAGCCAGTCTGTCAGGTAGCCATTGACCTGTACTCTAAACTTTCGTCCTACAATAAACTCATGTAACTACTGAAGTAGCGCGCCACCGATTGCGCAGGTCTTCAGTTTACGAAGGAGTACCTCGTGGTTCTCTGTCAAAGGCCTTACTAAAGTCGATGTGCACCACGTTAACATCCTTCCTTTCGTTGAGAGCTCGTGCCCACTGGTGGTTTGCCTACATCAAGATGTTGATGCAGGATCGCCCTTTCGTAAAGCCGTGTTGCGCTGGAGTCAATAAGTCCATCAATTCGAAGAACGACAGCAGACAATTTTTCAAAAGCTTTTCGAGAACTTTGGATAATATGAAAGTCAAACAGATCGGTCTATAGTTCTCTACTTTACTCGGATCATCACCCTTGGGAAGCGATCTCACTATCGAGCATTTCCAGTCGTTGGGCAGAGATCCTTCAGAGAGTGATTTAGCGAATAGGTTTGTCAGCGCTTGTGAGATGATAATGGATAGGGACTTAAGTATTAGTGGGTGAATTCCGTCTGGTCCGGGGGACTTTGCACCATCGAGATTGACGAGTAGCTGATACACTTCGAATGCATCACATTGTAGGCTGTCGAGCGAGACTGGCGCAACCTGTGTCGGTACTGAAACAGCCGCCGGTCTACTGGGAAATACGGTGGGGAAGTGTGTAGCTAAGGCGTCCAGGCGCTCCGCGCTTGAAGTGAGCATCTGTCCGTCCAAGCTCTCTAAGACCGGTAGGTTGTCCCCAGGTTTCAGTCGACATTTCAAGTAGGCAAATATTCTTTTGAGTGCAGTTTTGACCGAGGATGCTAGCTCCTCTTTGAACTGCCGGCGTTTATTGATCTTTGCGGCGTTAAATAAGTATCGCTGTCCCTTGCATATCGAGTAATCTTCATCAGAACCCGAGTGGACGTATCTACCCCAAAGTTTGCGACGCCGTCGCGTTAATTGTCTATATCCCGTATCAAACCAATGCGGTTTGATAGCTCCGACTTTGGAATACATCAGGGGAATGAACTTAGAACACAGTGAGTTAAGCTTCCGCTGCATTAATGACAAAGAGGCCTCAAGCGGCGCACCCTGTGGTAGTGTCCAATCAGTCTGACTTGCGGCTTGGACTGACCCCTTGAAGTCCGCCTTCCAATAGTTGTATGTCGGCTTCTGTTAGTCGTAATACGATAACGGCAATATTATGCTTGTCACAATGGAGCAGTGGTCACTGTTCGCCAGAGGTTCGAGGACTCTGATCTAGTTCACCTTCTGCTTGCAGCTCGTAAACATAAGATCCAGACAAGCTGCCGAGTGCGGAGTCACGCGCGTCGGTTGGCTGACATGTTGCGTTGCCCCGCTTTCAATAATCATTTTAGCGAATTGAGCCTCAACGTTGCCATGACCAGGAAGAAGTCGAACATCTGGCCAGAATATCTTAGGTAAATTTAGATCCCCATCAATAAGAACTGAGGGCGGCTCATGTGCTTCTGTATATTTGGTAGCCAATCATAACAACGGTTTAATTGACTACGGTAGAAAACACCCACTATTAGTTCTGCGCGTCTGAGGCGGATTGTGCACCACAATTGCTCGCATAAACTATCCTCGCTCCGATAGGCGCTGTTAAGTTTACCAGATAGTGACGATTTTATACACAACAGAACACCACTGTGAGCTTTTGATTTTCGGTCGCATCGGAAACAAGAGTATTCTGACAACGCGACTTCCTGGGGTATGACGTTGGAGTTCAGCCATCTCTCTGCAAGTCCTAAAACGTCCGGATGCTCCGAGACAGCGAAGTGGTACAGTTCGTCACGCTTGTTCATTAAGCTGCACACGTTGGCGAATGAGACACGGAGGACCTGGGACGTCTGCCTGGAGGTTGATCGAGCGGGTGATACGGGTTCGTACACCCGTCTTGATCTGGTGAAAATTTACAATCTGTAAGTCAGTTTCACCTTCTTCAGTGGGGCGTTTGAGCTTAATGACCGCAGTCTTCCAACGACCTCTATCGTCGGGTTAAAAGTGTCGGCGGATGTGAACTTTTATGCCTTTCAGCCTTGGCATACGAGACAGTATGAGCTGAGGCATTTTGTGATTTGCAAAGGTGATTCTCAGAGGTCGACATGACTGGTTGGTTTTCTGGCCAAGTCGGAGTACTTGTTTAATCGTCACACTGTCTTCGTCCACATCCAAGAGGCTATCGATGAGCCCCTGGAGGAATTCAACATCGTGATCATAACCTATCTGACGGTTTTCATCTTTTGACTCTGGTACGTGGAAGACTATGAGAGTATGACGCCTCAGCGAAATCGGTGATGAACCTGTGGGAGCAGAACTAGAGGCGCTTACCTGTTTGGGTTGTTGTTTATCAGCAGGGGACGCCTGAACTCGATTACGTGGCCGCTTGCACTTTTGAGTGGTCCATGGATCCTCGGTGTGCAAAGGTTCACAGAGAGGCTCTGAGAAATTCACGGACCGATCAGTGAAGCGGCATTTCGTAGGTTCCGAGTCAAGGTCTTCCATCGGTGCGGAACATTGAACCTGAGGCTCCGCCGGGCTCGAAGACGCTGGTGCTGGTGCAGATCGCGGCGTGACAAGAGAAGGTGAAGTGACAGAGGCACTTTCACGAGGGCGCTTGACCGCACTTGGTGTACAGTTTGTTTCTGTCTAGAAGAGAGGATTTCCCGTAGTTGTTGGCGGTCGCTGTATATTCTGAGGTTTCGCACCGCGACATTTATCACTCTTGGAAAAACCGATGTCGGATGTCGAGAGATTTTCGAAACACGTCAACGGATAAGTCAATGCACGAAATATGGAACAAAACATCGCAGCCGAAACACCGAAGTGCATGAGCCTTATTTCCCACAACATTCGAACAGGAACCACAAGTAGCTTGAGACGGCATCACAAGGTGGAGTAAATTCAAGATGGCGATAGTGCAAATCAATGAGATTTCCGGAATTAGCCAAAGAATAGCCGCCAAATTCGTACCGATTGGAAAATACACCAAAGTAGAATATTGGTGAACAATTCACACAGAAAAAGCACTGATAATACAGTAATCCGAGGCAAAAGTAGTATCCAGCACATAATGATTCAAAAATCCGCGTTAAATCTGCGTTAAACCTCACTTTCTTACCACGGTTATTTATTATTATCCTGGCGACATGAGTCGTGGCAACTGGACCCAGCACACTTCAGTACACGGGTCATGGTAGTTTATCTGAACCGAAATGAGCCGATATCAATCAAACAGACCAAACGGCCAGTGGAGATATAGTCTTCAGCTGGAGTAAGCAAGTGGGAGAAATTAAAAAGCAGAATATAAAATACCAGAGGCATCGGAAACTGAAATAGATGATGACTGGCAAATGAGCGAAAACAACGAAACGAGCACGCACTTTTCGTGTTTTCTCAAACGTGCTTGTCATACGCGTCATGTGTCCGAGAGCGGCAACGTAAGACAAACGACTGACGATTTGGGTAACGCCTTGACGCATCATACGAAATCGTTTGATTATCCAGTTGCCAGAAGAGATGGCTCGGTTCAGTTGCTCGGTGATCATCCAAGTCTTGATGTGGCGCGAAATATCGAACGGAGCACATCGACGTTTAGTATCTATTTTAGACACAGTCAACCAAAGGTCTTCGTTGAACGTCTTAAATACGTCTTCGAACAGCAGAGCGATCAAGCTGCCAGCCAACTCAATGCGTTTATTTCCATAAAAATCCCTGTCGTCAGGCTAGTTGAAGAAAATTGAAAAATACGTTTTGTAGATCAATGTAGGGGGATAAAGAACGCATTGTAAAAGTGGGAGCACAAAGAAATGTGACGACGATCACTATCCAAAAGACAAGCAGAGCGTTTTTGTAGGTGTGGAAGGGTAACGTTAGTCAAATCCATGAACTCGTTATCTGTGGTTAATGGCAAATTTGCCCGGTATCCCACAACTCGCATAAAGAGAAAAATTAAATGAGCGACATGCAATATGATCAGTTGCTACCACGGTACCGTGATGCAAGTTAACGTCTAGAGGACTGAAAGAGCAGAGTCAGTTATTATGGTGTGTGGGACAGGAAAAAGATGGAGCTTTTCGGACACAGTCCAACGGTAGCAATGATGATTCAAGAATGGCGAAGTTTACAAAAAACGGATGTCAGTAAAGGACAATAACGCAGACAAAACGAACATGTGCATCTCAAACGTGGGTAAGCACGCTGTATCTTGAGAACTGTATGCCTCAGTGTGCAGTAGTGTGAAATAAGGCAAGTAAAGTACACATGTTTACCTTTAACTACTTGGTAACTAGGGCTGTTACCGTAGGGTGCAACAGTCTGAAAACAATGACAAATAGTAAGTGGCATCGTTGTTAGTAGGTTTCTTGGAAATCGACGGCCCATTTTATCCGAAAGACTTCTATCAAGTGAGCCAGATTGTGGACTACAGTGTGTGTTGGTGTTGAGGTCGTAATCAATGGTGATGTATTCATATCAAGTCTACCTGACAGCGAGAGCAAGTTGAACATGTATATTGAATTTTTCCATCGACCGCAATGATTTCGAGAAAAAATTCAATGTACGGAGAGTGTATGGATCAGTTTCGGTCGGTTGAATGAAGAGTACAAGAGCACACTCAGCGCAGCAGGCTAGTGCCAAAGGTATCCTATAAAAGATTTGTTCACGATTACAGAAAGAGAATCTATATTTGTAGCACAGTAGACAACCACTGAAGAACCATGATTTTTTGATGAAAGCACAACGGATTGGCTTGGATGTAGTTTAGAGTATCAGTTAGTACTTGCACACGCGCAGCAAAGCAAAACCACCAGTGCCGACCATCGGACTAACTAGTGTCATTGATGCGCCATTCGCAAGGCCAAAGATATCAAACACGGACCTTGGGTTCTATGGATGTTGGATCATCCCCTTACTATGCGATTCCGGTTGAACTGATCTCGTTCTCTATGCTCAAACCCAAGCCAAAATCAGAAGTAAACATCTTGAGACAAAACGTGTTGGAAGAGTGTTAGGAACATCCTACTTGGCATCGATTGTAATAGTCGGAACGGACAAACTCTTACACTCGCTGGTTCCAAGGCATTCTCAACCTTTATTCATCCGTGTCCCCCTTTTGAATCCTTCCAATTCTCAGGCCCCCCACTCTTAATCACATTTTCTGCGGCCCGCAACATCATGTTACAATCTCCTGTTATCATTGCTAAATTCTTAATGTTGGTAGCACTACTGTATCCCTCATACACCTTACGTATGGTCATTGTGTAGCAACCTCGAACCACTTATTCGTTATTACACAAAAGTCATCATAATTAAATAAAAATATTTTCCATTATTGCTAGCTTTTAAATGTAAAGCGTGTGATGAATAAGGAGGTACTGTAACTTCTCAACAATATTTTTGATGAAATTTTAGTAGAACCTTAAGCCTGATGTCCTTGTTAATGTCCAGCTCTAGACTTGACAGTGAGAGTCGAAGATCTCCTCTTGCTGTGATGTCCAGTCTGTTTTTACTTTTTATGAGAGAAACCACTCTGCTGAATCCATGCTCAGTTAAATACGTAGAAAAAAAAGCAAAGAAATATATTTCAGTTACTTCTCGCAGTTTGGGATATTTGTTAGCGGCATCGGTCTTTATAAAAGATCCTTCTCATACTGCGTGAATTTGGATCTTACTAGTGTCACTTTGAAGCTCAATGACACTTTCTTGGATGGTAACTCAAACAATAAAGAGCTATACATCAAATGGATCTAAAACTCGAATCCGAGGATTTCCATGTCAATCAGATCTTGAAAGCTGTCTTTCACTTCGTTTCGGATTTGTTGTAAAAGACTTGCATAAAAAATCAAGTCTTCATCCTTCAGCTCCTCTGTAACTCTAGCGAGAATTGGGAACTGAAAATTCCCGACGTCCCATATTTTGGGAATACACTTCCAGCTTGTTAATAAAAGCGGTAAATGTTTCTTTACTTGAGATGAGATTACTCAACTTGCCTCGAAGGGTTTTAGTTAGTACGTTGAGTTTCTCAAATACATCAACCACGTTTAGCTGTTAACAGCTTTCTCTCATAATCAGTTCCATAGTGGAAAGTGATGATGATGTCCCACAGTGTCACAAAGCGACAAAGACAGTTACATTCGGAGAGCCATCTAACCTCTGTATGTAACAGTAGCACCTGAAAATCTTCACTGTTTTCATCACACGACTGTGGCAAAAGACGATACAAGTGGGTGCGATTTGATATTGTTCAATAGTGTAGATGGGATAAAAAGCATAACTTTACAAGACCCACAGGATGGATATGCAAAAGAAAACTAAAATCAAAATGTCCCAACATGGAACGTGAAGTATCAATGGTTAGACTATTGCACTTTATCAAATTATTGTGTAGCGTTTATCACTAAGATGAAAGTCTAAGAGTCTTTCGAATGTCGTCATGTCTGGTGCGTTCACATATTTTGGTAACGGATTCCAGTGAGAACAGATTCCAAGTGAATAAAAATACTATCTACTTTTTAAACGGGAGTGTTGCGTCATTAGTTTCAGGTGGTTGCCTCGGTTTTGTTTGTAAAGGGCTAGAGTCAACAGTGATGTACATGGATGCTCGCTTTCAGTTACTATCCGGTATGTGAGAGTAAGAACTCCGCGAAGCCGTCGGTATACTAATGAGAACACACCGAGTACACGAAGACGCAGTTGGTAACCTAGACCGGACAGTCCACGCATTGCCTTTGGGGCTGTTCCAACAGGCGAATATCTCATTTTAACCATGGACACCAGGCCTGACCTGCATATTCAATGTGAGGGCGAATATAGGAGTTAATCAGCAATGGTACTAGCCGTCGCTCAAAGGTGCCGAGAGCTCTCTTCAAAAGTCTCAAATTCAAGTTCGCCACACTTGCTGCTTTCGAACATTGGAGCGAATTGCCAAGACTCTATTGCACGATTACACCTAACTCGTGCTCACTAGTCATGCGCTGCAGGACGTGTTGCCCCAAAAGATGTGTTGACGAAGCTGCTGCGCACCGTCAGCAGGTGGCACTTTGCAGGATTCAGTAGGAGCTAGTTCCTTTCTGCACATTCGTTAATCTGAGTCAGATCTTTCTGGAGGTAGACACGGTCGGATGCTGAGCGAATTGCTCTCCATATTTTAGCATCGTTTGCAAATGTTTGCATCGGATAAAGAATGTCTGCTGGAAGGTCATTAATGTAGACAAAAAACAGTAGTGAGTCGAGGACGGATCCTTGTGGTACACCACTGGAGACGCACAGGCTTGCAGAGTGAGTGCCGGATACTCTTACCTTGATTGCTCTGTCGTGCAAGTAGTCTTCTAACCAGGTGAGCAGGGAACCGTTGATACCGTAGGCAGCAAGCTTTTGGAGGAGAAAGAAGTGCCTGGCCCTGTCGAATGCTTTGGAATAGTCCAAGTAAATCACATCTATGGAGACTCCTTCATCAGCCGCCCTGGTCCATGAGTCCCGAGTAATCAGCAAACTGGTGAGACAAGATCGTCTACGTCTGAAATCAAGTTGGGCATTGTAAATTATTTGTTGAGTTTCAACGTATCACGTCAGTTCATCTGCGATTACCGATTCCATCACTTTTGATAAAACAGGAAGGAGTGTAATAGGTCGGTAGTTGGCAGGATCCGATCGCTTACCTCCTTTGTATATTGGAGTGATTATTCTATTTTCCCACTCAGATGGGAGTGTATGGGAGTTAAGCAGACCCTGGAAAATGGTTGCAAGTGGTGCTGCTATGGTGGGAGAAAGGGTTTTCAGTACTTTTAGGCAGACCATGTCAGTTCCAGGGGCACTATACTCCCGGAAAGACTGTAATTTGCTTGCAACAGCTGCTGGAGTAAAGATGACGCTGGATAAGCCAACGACATTTGTTGGTTGATAGGGCGAATGTTCTATGGTATTAGTAGCTACCGAGTCAAATTGTAGGAGTAGTGTTCGCGGCATCCACAGAAGTAGTTGTTAGGCTACTGACCGTCTTGAGTGCTGGTACTCCGGGCTTAAGCTTTCTATTTGCTTTTTTGCTATTCACAAATCTGTATAGCAGTTTGGTGTTACTCGTACATTTCAGCACCATGTTCTCCTGCCACTCGTACTTATCGAATCTAAGAAGCGACGTGAAGTAGTTTCTGGTGACTTTGTAATTCTGTCATGTGATATCACATGGGCTTAGCGAAGGTTGCCTCCAGCTTTCATCTCTTCTGTTGATCCATTTACATGTTCTGCTCCGGATCCACGTATTGGTCCGGCGCGATGTTCGTAATGGTACAACCATCGATGCTGATTGTATGACCCAGTTAATTTTGTCTTCCAGTCCATTCCACGCGTCATTCGTTGAGCTGTGTATCTGTAGGTCCCAGTCAATGGTTGCTGCTAAGTTGTGCAGCTTAAAATAGCCCGTAATAGTTCGTTGAGTCTCTCTTTCTTTAGCAACAATACTGGCATAACACACATAACCAAATGTTAGGACTGAATGGTCGCTACGGCCCAGTGGAGAATCGTATGCTACTGACTCAACCATCAACTCTTAATTAGTCAGGATTAAGTCCAGGAGTGATGGCTTGTTTGAACCGCGGTGTCTGGTTGGTCGATGCACATAGTTATACAAGACTGCCGTGTCCACGAATTCGAGGAGTTTCTATTTAAATGAAGGCCCATTAGGGGATATTGATGCTATTGAAGGAACATTAAAGTCACCCATTATAAG